GAAATTACAATACATACCATAGAAATCCAGAAGAATAGTAGAAACTGTTTTGAAAACTTACATTCCAATAAATTGGGTAATATAGAAAAAAATGGATAAATTCATAGACACATATGACTTATCTAAATTGATTCAAGAAGATTTAAAATCTCTGAACAGACCAATGACAATGAATGAAATTGATGCAGTAATAAAAATTCTACGACTAAGAAAATCCCAGGGTCTGATGGATTCACTATTGAATTTTACCAGAACTTTAGAGAACTAATACCAATATTCCTCAAATTTTTCCATGTAATTGAAAGAGAAAGAATGCTTCCAAACTTATTGCATGAAGCCAGCTGTGGTAGCAAAACTGAATAAGGACAAAAAAACCAAAAAACCAAAAAACAAACAAAAAAACCCAAAACAAACTATAGGCCCATATATAGTTTCAAAATCCTCAGTAAAATACTTACATACAAAAGTCTGCAAATCCTTAAAAAGATGATATACCTTGAACAAGTGGCTTCATCCCCAGATGTTTCGCCATACATAAATCAATAAAGTACAACATACCACATATATTAATGAAGTATAAAAATCACATAATCATCTCAATAGATGCAGAGAAAGCCTTAAAAAAAAGCCAGTATTTCTTCATGATTGAAAAAAAAAGCCCTGATGAAAATAGACATAGAAGGACATTGCCTTGAACTGATAAAAGCCACATATGACACACAGCCAACATCATACTGAATGGGAAAAGCTGAAAACTTTCCCTCTAAAATCAAGAATGAGACAAGAATCTCCACTTTACCCACTCCTGTTCAATACAGTACTTGAAAAATTATCCAGAGGATATAAAAAGACAAAGAAATAAAAGGGATACACACACACACACAGACACACACACACACACACACACACACACATATGGGAAAACAAGTCAAATTAGCAAATTCAGAAAAGTGGCAGGATCCAATATTAATACACAAAAATCAACAGTGTTATCTAGGTATGGTGGCACATACCTGTAATCCCAGCACTTGAGATGTTGAGGCAGGAGGATCACTGTGAGTTCAAGGCCAGCCCAGGCTACATAGCAAGTTCAAGGCCAGTCTGAACTACATAGAGACTCTGTCTCGACACAAACAAACAAACAAACAATCAAACAAAAAAAAAATCAATAGTGTTCCTGTACATCAATAAGAACCCATCAAAAAAGAAACCAGGAAAAACAATGCCATTCACAATAGTGTCCAAAAAAATGAGACACATAGGAATCAACCTACCTAAGCAAGGTGGTAAAAGACTTCTAAAATAAAACTACAGAACTCTGAAGAAAGAGATGGAAGAGCATGCAAGAAAATGGAAAGACAACTCTGTTCCTGGATGGGCAGAGTTAATATCATTAAAATGTTTACATTATCAAAATGATCTATAGCTTTAATGCAATCTCTATTAAACCACCAACAGTATTCTACACTGAACTAGAAAAGAAACCTTAAAATTTGTATGGATCTATAAGAGAATCAGAATAGTCAAAGTGACCCTAAGCAAAAATAGCAAAGTGGAAGGCATCACAATTCCAGATTGTAAGTGATACTATAAAGCTCTAATAACAAACCCAGCATGTTACGGGTACAAAAACAGACATATAGATAAAGGAAATAGAATATAAAACAGAGAAGCAAACACATTCACTTTCAGCCATTTGATATTTTATAAAGGGGCCAAAAACATTTGGAGAAGAGATAGACTAACAAATGGTGCTAAGCAAATTGGTGATATACATACAGAAGATTGAAGCTAGATTCATATCTCTCACACTCTGTTGATATCAAATCAAAATGGATCAAAGATTTAGATATACAAATAGACATATTGAAACTGATGGAAGATAACTTGGGGGAAACACTTGAAACCATAGGCATAGGCATGGACTTCCTGAATGGAATCAACAAATGGGATTACACCAGACTAAAAAAGTTTCTGTACAACAAAGGAAACAATCAACAGAGTGAAGTGACAACCTAAGAATGGGAGAAATTTTTTGCCAGCCACTCTTCTGATAAGGGCTAGTGTCTAGATTATGTAAAGTACTCTAAAAATGACCTCCCCAGACAAACTACCCAATCAAAAATGGGCAAGAGAATTGAATAGATATTTCTCAAAGGAAGAAGTACAAATCAAAACAACTCTGAGTATGTCTTACCCCAGTCAGAATGGCTATCACAAACACACACACACAACCACACACACACACACACACACACAAACAACAAATGTTGGTGAGGTGGGGAAATAAGATTTCTTTATATACTGTTAGAATGTAAACTAGTATAACTGTTATGAAAATCAGTATGGAGATTCCTCAATAAATTAAAAATAGAAATTCTATTTGATTTAGGTAGGCCACCCCTGGGTATACTCCCCAAAGAATTAAAAACATCATATTATAGTGATATTTGTGTATCATGTTTATAGCAGCACGATTCACACTAATGAAGCTCTAGAAATAGTTTAGATGCCAATTACCAATGTGATATATAATATTTACATATACACACATATATATACATACACACAATGGAATACTGTTCAGTCATAAAAATAATGAAATCATATTGTTTGTAGGAAAATAGATGGAACTTGAGACCATAATGTTAAGTGCAATAAGTTAGACACTGAAAAATACTGCATGGCTTCTCTTATATGAAAAATCTAAAACAAATGAAATAATAATATAAAGGAGAGATGCTAGAGAACAAAAAAGCAGGGCCAGGGATTTAGCTCAGAGGTTCTGCCACCTACCTCACAAGTGAAGGTCCTGAGTTCGATCCCCGGTACCAAAAAGAAAAAAAAAAAGAAAAAAGCAGACTTGTAAGTGCAGAGGGGATGGAGGAGGAGGAGTGTAGGGAAAGGGAATAAAGGGATTAAAAATTATTAAGATATGCTATATAAATGTAGCAATTCCCCAAAACAAAAAAATGTAACTGTTATGCATTGAAAATACACACACACACACACACACACACACACACACAAAGACAGTCTTCCAACTTGTGAAAATAAAATGACAACCATGCTTTACGTTTTTACATGTAGGTCTTATTCATATTTTTATTAAATGCAACCATGTTTGATGTTTCTTGATGGAATTATACGTGAACTTAAAAATTCATTTCCAGTGATTCATTGCGAGTATATGGGAATATAGTTGATGTTATGGCTTGTGTCGAGATGCCCCCCCAAACCCTCACGTGGTTGTAGGTGGGGCTTTTTCAGAGGTGGCTGAATCTAGAGTGAGTAATAGATTCATGCTGCTGTGCTAGGATTAAGGATGGGTGGTTACTGAATCAGTGCACTGGTTGGTCTGGCACCGCCCTAATCCTAGCAGCCTGGATACATTATAAGGGATAGAAAGAGCCTTGTCTTGTTTTGGGCTTGCTCTGCTGCCTTATGCCTGCCATGAACTCTGTCTCCACTGCAACACCTCTCTGCCATGCACCCCTTTTTGGAGCCAGCTAATTATAGACTGAAACCTCTACAAACTGTGAGCCAAAGTAAACATACTCTCCTTTTACTGTGGGTGTCAGGTACTTTGTCTCAGCAACAAGAAAAGTAACTAAGGCAGTTGATTTTTTTTCTTTTTAACAATTCATTAGGGCATTAATCTTATAGCATTGCTAAATTCATGCCATAAGTTCTAGCAGCTTTTTGTACATATTTTATGATTTGCATACCCAGTTTTACTTGTTCTTTTAGAAAATGTCTAAGACATGTTAATATGTAAAATAAAAACTTCCCTCCAATATACATGTGTAGGATTCACTGCTATGCTCTCAGTCCATATGTGGAATAGAGATCAGTATCTCCTGAACTTCCTCACTTTCATCTACTTTGTACGCATGTCTGTCCTCAGTGCCTAGTCCAGTGCTTGTCACATGGTTTCAATAAACATATATTTAATAGGATATGATGGAAATCTACTATATATTTTAGTGACACATACTCAAGTACCTTCCCAGAAGGATGTTTCTAGAATCCTAATATTTAGGCGTGTCTATCCAAACACACATATGCAGTTCTCATAATGTGTTCTGAAATGTTGAAAACCAAAACAAGAATATTTAACAACTTTCCCCCATTTATGCGCTGTTTGTTAGAAAGTTTATTCAAACTGAAATTATCATTTTTTCATTGCAAGACAGTGCACATGCACGATGTGAACCAATTTTCAATTAGATTGTTGTAAAAACTGGGTAGGAAAAAAAACTAGGAAAAAACTAATATCTGTGTATATTAACACGCTGGGAAGACAAATATATTTTTAAGCCTACATGTAAGTAACTAAAATAGCAAAACAAAGCAGCATAACAATGCTTTTGGGAAACTGGATCTTAATTAAAATAATCTATATCGTGAAAAAAAGGCTGGAGAGTGGAGAGAGATTCTAGCAGAGGAAAATGTAAGAAAAAATCACAATAACTATAGATAAATAAGGAGAAGATTTATAAGTATATTGAGTGGTGAAGCTGGGGATTTAGCTCAATGGTTTGGCTGCCTGCCTCACAAGCACAAGGTCCTGAGTTCAATCCCCAGTACCAAAAAAAAAAAAAAAAAAAAAATAAAACCAATAAAAAAAAAAAAAAAAAAAAAAAAGAATTATGAGTGGTTAGAGTAAAAGACAAAGTCCAAAGGTAAAGTGCGAATCCCAAAAAAAGTTGATTCATAATGTAATGGGTCTCATTCCTTTAGCAGTTTTTATTAGTGTTAGGGTTTACTATATCATCTGTTTGTAAAGAAAAAAACATTAAACAAAACAAGCACACAATAAGATTATAGTGTCAACTGTTTTGTAAGTGCCTACATTTTTGTGAACATTTGATACTGATATATTTATTTGGGAGTACTAATTACTCTGGAGGAAATGTTTAATCTCAACAATTACACAATTTGATAAACAGTAATAAGTCTGTCTTCATTCTTCTTGTGTTTTTCTCTTTTGATTATAGGTATCTGTAATTCTTCCTCACCAACTAAACCCGCAGAATCTGTTCAATCAAATAATTCCAGGTCATTTCCAAATTTTGGTATGTGCATTATTTTATAGCAGAGGTTCTTTTAGAAAATATAATTTTACAGTATCTGTCCTTATATTTATATCCTTTTCCGCGCAATTTATCTGTTTAATTTTAACCTCAGCTACTTTTTTTGGCAGTGCTAAAAATCAACTAGGCAACCACTGCACCAATGAGCAGAACCCTCATTCCTCGGCTGCATGTTAACATCTCAAGTAGTATTGAACTGCTAGCATATGTGGAAAAGAAATATAGATAACCAATGTATTAGGAAATAAATGTGACAAGCGAAATGGAAAACTTGAGATGTTCTGATAGTCCCATTTATGTCTATAGCTAGTTACAAAAAAAATGTGTCATTAAAACAACAGCAGTTGCTATCTAATCTTTTTTTTTTTGTTTTTTAGACAGGGTCTCACTATGTAGTTGAGATTGACCTGGAACTCACTATGTAGCCCAGGCTGGTCTCGAACTCACAGTGATCCTCCTGCCTCAGCCTCCTGAGTGCTGGGATTACAGGCATGTGCCACCATGGCCGGCCATTTGCTATCTAATCTTATATAACCATGAAACAGTGGAGATAAGCACAATTTTGACAGTTTAAAGGAATTGCTTAGCCACTTGATCCTAAGTATAAGCTATAAACTAATTTTGTATTATCTTAAGCATTGTATTTTTCTATATGATTTGTACTTGTGATAGTACTTAAAATATTATTGTAATATAATTTCTAAGTCTGGCAATTAATGTAGACTATTACTACTAAAGTTATTAACCAAAAAGGAGATATCTGAAAGGATCTGGAAGACGCCAGGGGTATTTTGAGGGAGATTCATGGTAATGTGTCTTTTACTGTAATAATTTAAAAATTTAACATTCATTGTACTTCTTGATTGCACGTCATATACAATTGCCCAGACACAATTTTTATTTCTGTGAAAAAGCAGAGAGAGATTTTGGTGGAGAAGTAGAATTCTCTGCCATATCGGTGCCTATTTCAGTTTGAGAAAATCTCTAACTGGAATTTCTGTATTTGTTTATTTGGCCATAAATTTTTGTTTGGATTTTATTTTATTTATTTATTTTTGTGATCAGACTTGTATGTTATACTTTATTGGATAATTATGTAGATGCATGCAGCTGTTTTGGTGAACAGTGTGCAATGCTTTTGAAAGGAAGCAAAAATGTTTGGATTTTATTAATGCTATGGTTTAAAATGATTATGGAATCATTTAGTTAAAACCATTTACATAAAATACTGCATTAACTATGAGAAAGCACTCAGCTTTGCCTGGGACACACTGGCCATATTTTCTGCTTCTTTTTCACTAAACCAATGATGCCTTATCTAACTTACAGTCTACATAACTTCACAATGATCTAAAAATATTAGACAGCTGCCTCTATGTTACTTCTCAAATACGCCTAGATTTGAGCAGTTTACTTACTGGAAAAGCAGAATTTACTTTTTCATTGCTGCTCTTTACAAAGAAAGCAATATTAATTGTTAGGATACATTACTCAAAAATATATTTAAATTTGAAAGAAAAACTCGTGGTTCATGTTTCCTGACTTGACTCACATGCCCCCGCCCAAAAAAAGATAGCTCATATTTTTTCTGAGAATTGAGCAGTGAAGGACACTTAATACAAGATGTAGTCCTGATATCTTAGATACTTCAACTAGTCATGTAACATGTCCTTACTTATAATCCCAGTCCACTTGGGTTATAGTCAAAATATCTGTACTGATGAGGCAATTTTGACGATCACATGTACCTATTTAACATGAAACATTTTGCCCTCTAGCTTGTCTGTTATTCAGGGGGGTAAAATGTACATGGATTAGGCTATGGATACTTCCTCCAATTTTTAAAATCTCCCCTGTTAATTAAATTTATTAGTCTACTATTGTTATTTTTTACATTTTCTTTTCCTTCCTCCTACTATGCTATTATTCCAGTTCTGGTATAGTTTTTTGTATTCTGATTTAGGTAACATTTGAGTAGTTGCTAGGTAAGGTGATGAAACAAAAGGTTTAGGAATGAATATCTTTTGATATATGTTGTTATTCTGTTTGTCAAACTTTTCATTTCTTAATTTAAGCCCCTAAAGTTATGAAGTATAAGTTACCTTGAAAATACACTACCATCACAGAAAAGGAAAGGCATATTTAGCTAAATGATTAAAAATCAATGCCATGAACCTGCAAATCTTCTGAAAGCACCCCAAAATAGCCTTCCTTATTTATGGAAATTTTCCTTAGCTTCCTCCTTTGTGGGAGGTAAGGGGTATGGATTTGAAGGAAAAAGAAATAAGCATGATTGTTCAACTATTTAGTTTTCCAAGATTATTACTTTATTTTTTCTAGCCTCTTCTAACATAATTGGTTAGTAATCCAGAACTTTCTGAGCCTACATAGAGGTATAACTGGATTTAATGTAGTAATATGCAAGTAACAGTGCTAAGTTTTGTGGAACTGAAGTCGAATTTTGCGATGAGTAGATGGTGGACAAAAATGTAGATAAATGATATTATGTGCTGAATTATCAAAGGCGATAACCAGGGTTTTCTATCCAATTACTGCCATCATTAAATTCATAAGTGCTCTACAAATTTAAAATATTTGTACTCAGCTGGGGAGTGTGTACAGCGCTTGCCTCCCATGTACAGTGTCCTGGGTTTGATCACCACTATGGCAAAAATAAAATAAGTGTTCTGTTATTACTTAAACTTTAAATTACTATAAGTGCTTAAAACCCATTACCAAACTGGTCAAAGATGCTATCTAGACTTTTGAAAAAAACCATGTATTTGCACGTTACACTGTAAGTTCCAAGTATTTTTTTCTTTGGTACTGGGGACTGAACCCAGCCAGAGCCCTAGTTAAGTTGCTGTGTTGCCTATGCAGGGTTTGAATATATGATCCTCCTGCCTCAGCCTCTCAAAGTATTGAGGTATAAGTACTTATAGGTACAGCCATTATGCCTGGCTTCAAGTTTCATTTCTATATTAAAAAAAAAAACCCAAAACAACTTTTTGTTCATTTTTTTGTTCTCAGGTTTTGCAAATCGTTTTTCAAAACCCAAAGGACCACGGAACCCACCACCATCTTGGAATATTTAATACAACTCTGGATTTATAATATGGGCTGCAAATGAGTCTGAAATACTGGCTAGCTAAAAGAAGTGCTGTATATTCATATCATAAATGTTAATGTTAATAATTTAAAAAAGAATATCAACTCCTAAAATGTATCAATAAACTTAATGAATAATGATAAAAAGATAATAAATCCATTCAGGAGAAAAAAAAAGAAAAGAAAACCAATAAACAAAAAGGCTAGAAGTTTTGCATTTTCCTATCATTTACATTGGAATATATGGGTTTTAAATTGTAGATAAAAGTTCATCACTTGAGTTTATGAAGAGAGTGCTGAAACACTTTAAAATGGATTTATTCTGAGTTAGATCTCCTGTATTGGGAAGAAAATTAAAAATAAAATTGGATTTACTTTTTACTTTTAGAAGTTATTCTATTTTTTTTACATAAATGTAAATTTTTATTTTTGTTTTAAGAGACAGGTCTATGTTACCCAGGATGGGCTACAAATCTTGGGATGCTCCTGCCTCAGCCTCCCCAGTACTGGGATTCTTAAGTGTGTGTCACCTTGCATGATTGAAATAAAAAGCTTTTCTTCAGTCTCTTCTGAGAGTACTTTTGAATTTTTTTAGTTTATCAGTACACGTGTAGTACATAATGTTTACAGTCTTTGTGGGAAGTTGGTATGTGTAAACGGTTTTATGAGAAATAAATCTCAAATTTCTACATGGTCCAAATATAAAAAGTTTGTTTTGTTTTAAAATCTTACCTTGTAGTGGCAGTATAAAATTACTGCTTGTGACAATGCCTATTCTCTAGGAGTTATTTTTGCCTAAATGGAGTCATATTATCTTTCCAAATGTTGTGGGAGACCAGAATAGTAAGTAAAGAAGTTATATTTAAGAGAATAAAATATACAAATAACAATTATGTTTTTATTTGGATAAATCAACAAGATATCAACTACATCTGCTAAGTTTTAACCTAATTGCCAATTCTAAAGAAACAACAAAATTGCTATCTTTTGGTAGCATTTTCATTATATAAAAGGTCCTATATAAAAGTGCAATTTCCATACAACCAACCAGAGGTACCGCTCATTGAAATTTCTGTATATGGATTTGCATTAAGACAACCTGATATTACAAATCTAATTTTATGTAGCAAATAACTTAGTAGATCAGTATGACAGAAAGGATTCACTTTACTTACCCTAATGATTTAACATTTTTTATTTATTTATTTTTTTGGTTTTTTGAGAGGGTCTCACTATGTAGCTGAGGCTGACCTGGAACTCACTTTGTAGCCCAGGCAGGTCTCGAACTCACAGCGATCCTCCTGCCTCAGCATTCCGACTGCTGGGATTACAGGCATGAGCCACCACGCCTGGCTTAACATCTTTTTATTTTAAAAAGTTTATTTATAACTTTGAGACAGTATTAACAGCATTTGCTCATTAGTATTTTTTATTAGGAAGCCTAACTAACGATAGGGCAAAGCGAATGCCACATTATTACCTATTGTAGCACAATGTACCCAATAAACTTTTGTTTTCAAACTAACTTTATTGCAGGAGTGTTTACTTTTAAATAATTCTTCTCTAGAAATTAGTGGTATCAAACCTGTAATTGCATGTGCTGAGTATATCATTATAACCAATTATTTTCAAATATCGTTGTTAAAGACCAAATACATTAAAAGAATCCTAGGCAAAAGCTACAGTGACAAAATTCTAAATGAATTTCCTTTGGAGAAAAGTGATTTTGGGAGTGTTAGTAGACATGCCTTTCAAATTTATACCACCTTACACTTATGATTTGAAAAAAAAATCTTATTAAACATTTAAAATATGCTTTTCCGTCTAGGATTTTTCGTAGCTGTAGGAATATATTTAAAGTAAATGCTGGGTTCCCTGGACTGTCAGGCAGGTTCTGCACCTGTCTCGTTATGCCTGTAGTTGGAACCACAGCAATGCCCCTGAAGGTGCTTCCAAACGCTTCTGAATTGCATGTCTCAGCAAAGCCATCGTTATTTTACATAATAGTAAATTCTCTTTTATCCTTCATTTTACTGTTTGTCAAGGGACAAGGCCGGAGATTCTTTTAGCTCACAAAGGCTGTGACAGAAACATGACATTTAGAAGTCACTATGGTAACCACCTATTCTGTGTAAAAGGACGAAGGGTCGGAGGAAGACGATAAAGTGAGCGCGCCGCCAGACTCGGAAAGCCATTAATACTGTTTGAGCCGTTAAAGCGGTTGGCGGCAACCCGCCGGCCGGGGGCCGTTGCGTCGCAGCCCGAAGCGTGACTCGGCGCACGCTACCTCTCGGCTCCTCCACTCAGGGCCCGGGACGCGGCGGGCGCGGCGGAACTACCGCTCCCACGCGGCTTTGCGAGGCCCAGGGCGCCTTACAATAGAAGCTCGGTGGGAGAGGCCTGCGGAGCTCTGGGAACTGCCGCTTCCGGCATGTTTAGCTCCTCACCGAGTACGGCCGACAAATGGAGGGAGGTGGAGAGACTCCAATGCCCAGAGGGCCGTGCGCGAGTGGCGCTTGCGCGGTGCGCGGACGGGGGGGCGGTCGGGCCATTTAAATGTGTGTTTGTGGGTGAAATGGCTGCGCAGGTCGGAGCAGTGCGCGTAGTACGGGCGGTGGCGGCACAGGAGGAGCCGGACAAAGAGGGGAAAGAGAAGCCCCATGCTGGGGTCTCGCCCCGAGGAGTGAAGCGGCAGCGCCGGGCAAGCAGTGGAGGGTCTCAGGAGAAGCGGGGGCGGCCGAGCCAGGACCCCCCTCTCGCTCCCCCTCATCGGCGGCGTCGC